ACTAATGAACATTCTCTCACCAAATCAACATTTCCTAGCATCACACTGACCCCTTTTGATATAAAAGATGATGTAACAAAGGGAAAGATAACTTGGGCATTGACAGTTGTGAAGAAAAAGATGTCACTTAATTCATATTCTGATGTTAATAACATTTTCAAAAAAATGTTCTCTGACAGTGTTATAGCCACATAATTTCAATTGGGTTCAGACAAAGCTTCCTACATAATAAATTATGGTCTAGCCCATCATTTTAGAGAAAAATTGGTTGATTCTGTTAAAAGTTGTGATAATATTGTAATCTCCTTTGACAAATCATTAAACAAAGTTACTCAAAAACTCAAATGGATCTTGTGATAAAATACTGGGACGAGATTAAAGATAATGTTATGACCAGATATTTAAAGAGTGTCTTTCTGGATCACAGTACAGCAGATGATCTTGCTGCATTTCTCAATGGCCTCTCAGACATTCTCAGATGTAGCAGAAATTCATATCTGTATGGATGGATCAAATGTAAATACAAGTTTTCTGAATATATTATATCACATGGAGACACAATGTTGGGAAATCATTTGTGAGAATGGGAACATGTGGTTTACATGTAATCCATGGTGCTGTAGAAGCCAGTTTTATAGTAGTAGATTGGAATGTATTGCCACTGTTATGGAACTTGTACTATTTGCTAAAAGACATACCCACTCAGTGTGACAAATACATTGCTATAAGTGGAAGTAGATTATTTCCTGAAAAGTCTGGTTCAGCAAAGTGGTTACAGAATGGAGAGCACTTAGAATGTGAAGCAGTAGTTGTTGAATTTGTGAAGATATACATAAACAGTACAAAGTTGAAAGACAGCAAGGTGGCTGCTTCTTGAGGCAGGCTCTCAATGATCCATGTACTAAAGTTTTGACTTAATTTTTTGGTCAATATGTACAAAGTGTAAGAGCTTTCATGTTCAATTCTAGAGCAACACACCTCTTGCACCATATCATTATCAAGTAGTTGTTCAATTATTAATTAATGAACCTGACTAGAAAGTTTGAAAAATGACAAGATCATTGATAAGCAGTTTTTAAAGATATACTAAGTTTTCATTAGCATCTTAATCTATCTGAAGAATTTGGATATTGTTTTTGGAGCAAAAAAGTTCTAAAAGAATTAAAAGTAAGTGACAAAGATATTCTGTATTTTTTTAAGAGATTGTCGAAATGTGCTGAAAGTGACACACACGATTATTGGGGGAGATTAAGAAGGGACCTATCAAGTACAAACATATGAAGACTGAGCAGTGTATACTCAGAAATTATTAAAATACAGTAGAGCGTTGTTTATCCGAAAGTCGGTTATCTGAAAGAATTCCAGTTGGCAAATTTAAATTTTCACTAGTGCTGTGGCACTGCAATCTTTGGCTATGTCTTGGGCTACTCCAATATTTTTTATGTTTGTGTATATGTTTTAGCTGGCAGCACTGTCTCTTTTGTGTGGTGTTTTTCTGAAGACTGTGTTATGCTGAATCGAACGTTTTTGATACTAGATCAACTTCTAAAGTACAGTATAATTTTTTTTGTTTTTATATTTTTCAATATATTTATTTTGTTTGTAAAAAATAAAGAAATAATTTTTAACGATACAATAGCCACAATTATTATTTAAAAAAGTTAGGCTTAACATCGATGAAAATTCAATACGAAGCAACACACAACAGAGAAAAATTTCTACATCGGATAGGTTAATATATTTTTTCGTACATAATCGGTAATCCAAAAAATAAGTTATCCAAACAGCCTCAGTTCCCAATTGATTCGGATAACGACTCTCTACTGTACAACCAAATGTTGGAAAATTGCATTTCAATGTTTTGTTGGAAGTTCTACATGACACAAATAGGATTAGTGAGAAATGTGCTCTCAATGCAAAAGAACAGCATGAAATACTCTACGATAGTGTCGTGGAACCGTATTTTACAAAGTTGGAGGAATTCATGTCTGAAAGGAGTGATCATCATCATCTGGACATATATTATATTGTGGAATTGTGAAGGATGATAGGCAACTGCAATGCCTATGATCTGTAATCAAAATTTCACTTTCTTTTGTAGTTAGGAATGCAAGTATTGAGTGGTTTCTAGGTTAACAAAACACTGTTCACTGAAAATCTTAAGGAAGAAAGTTTAGTTGCTTAGATTATGATGGGATCCATTTTTGCAGGTGGTATTGATCAAATATAGACCAGAAAATGTTAAGTCAAAGGATCTATCTATACAGTGATATTTTGCATCTTTGTGACAGAAAAGACATTCAGAAGCAGCAGGCATTGAGGACTGAAGAAAAAAGAAAAGTTACAAAAGAATTTAAGGACTTAGAACAACACAATAAAATGTTAAAAAAGATCACAAAAAGGAAGAAAAAGATTGAAATGAAAATAAATACACTACAGGAAAAAAAAGCTAAAACTACATTAAAATAGTGCTTGTGTTTTGTGAATTGTAATTAATTTTTTTATTTTCTGATTATCTGTATTTTAATAAGAGAATTAATACTAATCAGTTTTTCTTATATTTTGATTGTCCATTTGATAACAAGAAACAATAAGATTTTACACTAAATTAGACATATTTGTTGGAGAAGCAATAGTATATACATATTTCTCTTTATGCGCAGTCTTTTTATGCAATTTTTGAAACAACAGTTGACAAAAGAAAACTAATCCTCTTTCTATATGATTGATATTTGTTTGCATGGGGGAAAACACTTAATTTGAAATTTTTTAAATTTAACTTTTTGTTAAAATATGATACTGTTAAAAAATTACTTTTTGTTGAAAAATTAGTTTTAAAATTACATGTTTATAAATCAAGAGTTCATTTCTTTTTTAAGCATGGTACTGTACTATTTGTATGTCAGATAATACTTTTTGTTGATTTTATGCTACTTTGTGTGTACTATATTTATATACAAATAATGTTAGAGTAAAAGATTAAAACATTTTGTAAATTACTTATTTTTTTCATTCAATTGAAGTTGTGTATCCTATCAAGCATTTTTATTATAGGATGTATGTGCTTGTACTTTTTTTTTTTGGTAGAGTTCTTTGGAATGTATCCATCGCACAAAAGGAGAGATAAATGTACAGTACTTTGTTTTCAGTTAGTAAAATGCTGTTTTATTATGTCAGTATTCCACACTGTAAGGAACATGGGATCAGGGAATTTGGACAAAGTTGGTCAGGGAAGGTCACTGAATTTGAAACAATTAAGTGTAGGAACCTTGTATAATGTTAAATTTACAAATACAAAAATTTTTTGTAATTAAATTGAATATTTAAAGTAATATTCATCAAAATAAAATCTTTCTATATACAGTATAAACTTTTTGTACTTAGTGTTTTTGTTATATAATAGTTATTTTATTTTGTTGCATAGTTTCCTATGTACAGGTATCCCGTATGTAACATGGTAGTTACATTCCAAAAAAGTGTGGCGTTATGCAGATTCGTGCTATACAAAACAAAAAGACTAATGAAAAACATGGTTACATTCCAGAAGCTAGCAAAAGTATATGATTTTTTTTTTTTTTTTGTTACTACGAGAGATAAGTTTATCAAAGCAATCAATAATTAATTAACAATTACAATTAAAAGTACTGAATTACACATTAATATCAATTTTCTTTAATAATATTAATAGCAGCTTGGCATTTTGACAGTGACACATTAAATAAATGCTCATTATGTTTAATTTTTAAAAGGTGTAGTTTAATTACATAAAGAATGCGCCATTAGTTACAAAGTATATACACTTGTCTGTTCTTTAAAATTTTTTATTGTGTTCATTTTCAGTTCCTTCCACTTGTGATAGTTAATATTGTAATTAACTACAAGTTCATTCAAAAGTTTATATAAATACACTTGAAGAGAGACACTTGTGATGCTTGTGTACATGTAACATCAGAATGTTAACATGTGTTTATCACAAATGTGCGGAATGATGTATCCAAGTAAATAGCAAACATGTAGAACCTCCCGTAACTTATAAGTGATTGTGTAAGAAAATGAGCTGTCTTCCTATGTAGGAGGATTCTGATTTACTGTGTCTAGTAATGACGTAACAGGTTTTATTGTGAAAAGATTGAAAATTTTTGAATTTTATATGTTGGAGTCAAAAGTTTGTAAATCTGTTGTTTGCCTGCAAAGTTTGATATTCTGGATGCTTTGATTCTGTTTGTAAATAATCAGGAAATTATTTTTGAATTGAAAATTTTACTCAAAGGCAACACATTATAAATTGTTTTATACATACACTTACTTTTTACATTATTTAAAATATATCCAAAATCCTTTCATAAGTTTTGGTAAAAAAACTGTTTGTTTTTAGAATTTAATTATCAAATTTTTACAAAATTTTGTTAATATGCAGATAATTTGATTTTTGAAAATCTTTATTTCCATTAAAACAGCTTATTTGTTTAAAATTAATACAGTAGAGTCCCATACAACGCATAAATAAAGCAAGCGACACCCTCGAATTTTGTTGATCAGAGGTTATATGGTTTTTTCCGAACTTATAGGCCAAGGTTTAAACTTTCATAAATCGTGTGATAATGCAAGTTTCGATAATGCGATTTCCTATAATGCGTAACGAATCCCCCGCGTTGTATGAGACTCTGTTGTATGTAGGAGGCAATGAGAAGTTAATTTAAACGAAGTAAAATAAAATTTAAAAACTCAAAAAACTCAGTTATGATGGCGAGAAACTAAATACATTTATACATTTATTTTTGTTCTATGTTAAAACTGTTTTTCATTTATTGTTATATACAAACATTACATAACAGATTTGAGTGCTGCATTTTTGTATAAATTTTTAAAGTGTATTGCCGACGTTATTTCTATAACAGAAAAATGTAATATGTCTATTTGTTTGTCATTTTATTTATATTTTAATTTAATATATTAATATTTAAAAAATAATTCTTAAATTTTTGTTTCTTTTAAATTAGATGACTGTCCACCGAAACTTAATTGTCGTAGGTCCAATGAAGGGTGTGTAAACTTAAAGAATAACGGTTTCCACTCTGATGATCACCAATGACAAGGAAGATTGGTTTATTCAGTTACAACAGTGTTTCATATTTGGTATTTTTTATTACATAATCAAACAGTTTTTAGCATTTTTTTTCTTTTGTTTTCTTTGCGAAATGTAATCAAAGAATGTTTTCATCTTATGAGAAACTTTTTTTTATCCTGTATCCTATTGTTTATTTTTATTAAATTTGACATTTTTTAAAATAATTTTTTGCAAATTTGCATAATGCTGATTCCTAATTTGTTCACTTGAGATTAATTCTTCGGATGAAAGTATGCGAGAATAATAATAGTTCGTACTGGAAAGTATTAAGACTTTATTGCGATTTGCTGTTGGTAAAGTAAAACTGTAAATACTTACTTTCAAATTACTAAAGAAATGATCAATTATATTTTAGTTTTTTAAAAAAATATGTTTTTAACGTATACATTATCCAATTTTGCATATACAGGGGGCCTAAAAATCAATTAATTAACAATTCTTAAATTACAAAGTGGTTCAAAAGTAGGCATACAATTGTGAATCCGAGAAGTATGGGTGTTTGGCGTAGAATTCTTTTATTTATTTTCTCTCTTATTTATTATTATTTGAAATTGATGACAATAAGGAATTCTATTCCACAGTATGCCTGAATTTAGAAACTAGATTACATTCAAATACTGAAGGTTAGCAATAGCAATTTGAGTAAAAGTAAAAGATTTTACTGTACATAATTGCAATTTACAAATCATTCTTATTGTGACTTAATAAAGTTTATTAAATAATCGTAACCGTATACCTATTTTTCACTACTATATTTCAGTTAACTAGCTTCTGGGTCACGCTTAGATTTTGATTATTTTTGTGTGAAATTATTTTTACTTTAATGTCTTCAATAAGCATTTAACATTTTTTTTGTTTTGTTTTGAATTAAACACGTAAAATGCCGAATGGATATCTAGAATTCAATTTAATCTAAATAACTCTATAATTCATATATTAAGTATATCAAAGAATTTTTTTTGTGAAATTTTAAGCAGTTCGGATAAATCTAGGCCCCATTCCTTGCATGCTGACTCCCTGCTTAATAGAATAGTTACATGGAAAGTATATAACAACTTGCAGCTGAGATAGTCGAATAGATTAACTTCTTTAACATCTAGATAAAGGATTATCATTCCAAGACTACAAAATTGGTCCAATCTGATTTTTGCATCCGACAGTAATATAGTTTTAGGCCACTATTCGTTTTAGACCGAAGTTATCATTCAGCACTTTAAGTTTAAAAAAAAATCGAATGCGGATGACCGTTAAATTGTGTGCTGCTGGATTTGAAAGGAAAAAAAAAATTGATGATAGACTCGTTAGAAGTTTCTCACACTCGAGTTAAAAAAAAAAAAATGATGTATGCGTCATGACTGATGATACTGATGTAAAGCATCAAATTTCGATTGTTCGCTCTGCACTGTTAAGCCACAAGAACTGATAATACCACATGTATTATTAGTGTGTTTGCAAGCGGTTAGTGTTTTTTTTTTCGTAACCAGATGTTTTCTATCTAACAATGGAAAATTGTACCGATTGGATTCGAAAGTTTTCAGTGTGAAATTCAAAACGAAATGGTAGCGAGGAGTAATGGAGAAAAATAAATCGATATATATATATAAGCCTTAAATGAGCCCTTAACGGGAGTAATTGCGAGTAGCCGTGCCTCCTGTTAACTAATCAACTGGTCAGTCGTTAATATGTAAATGAGAACATTTTTAAAAGTGACGTTCTACAATCGATGCAAACTGATGCGTGATGTTCTAGAGAAATTGGAAGATTCTTGATATGATTCCGAAGTCAATTTCGAAAAGAAAAAATGTATCGAGTTAGATTGGGCCAAAATATACTTATTAAGAAATCGTACAATTTCACAACACAAGTAATTTATCACTGTATTGATCTGGACATTGTAAGGCTAACGAAAACTGTCTCATTTGCTTCGATTTAGATGCAAGTGTAAGCAGCTACTTTACAGAACAATTACTAAAGTAAAACGTTTATTACAGGAATAAAATTTGAATAATCGTTATTAGAAGGGTATTAATTAACGTTAATAAGTTTTTTTTCCCTTCAAAAAGCAAATATAAATAATTACTTGAAATCTCGCTAAAATAACATGTTGTTGTTGTTGTGTAAAACTAACACATTAAAATGGTTACAAAACAGGGTTATCTTTTGAAATCCTAATTAAAGTTTTAAATATTTGAAGCACGTATTTATATTGGTCGGGTTATTATATCTTATTTAGAATTAATAGATTAGATTACATTTTGTATTGTAGGAAGTAGCAAACAGTAAATTTGTTCAATAATTCAAGTTGTCTTCACTAGCGAAGGAACTATTAACATAGATGAAATCGAGATTAGCTTCGGCAGATTCTCCCTTCTTAAACCGGATTTGGCAGGACTGGTCTAAGGAGTTTTTTGTTTTTTAAATGTTTAAAGTTTTTATATATTTAACATCAACGTAAAAATAATGTTAAATTTATTTTCAATTCGTTTTGATAGTGTTTTCCACTCCAATGATCATTTAGACGGCGTTGATTATAATTAACGTTGGGCGTTAAATTTCCGTTTGTTAATTCTTTCCATGTAAATTATAATTTCGTCGTTATGTTTAATTCATGTTTGTTTCTGCTCAACGTTTTAATTGGCTTCCATGTTTACGAAAAGAACGTAAACGTTACCAGGAATAAGATAGTGATCCGCTGTTGGAAGAAGAATATAATAAACATTGATGTAGCTTTTTATGTATATATACATTACATTTTGGACCTATCGGGATGGCGTTTTTAAGGCATATTAGGTGTTTATTACGTGTAACGAAAAAATAGTTAAAATATGATTTAAGATGTAGAAGCGTACAATGTTTTATTATTACAATACACTTGCTAATCCGGTGTAATCTGATCGCTTACGCGCTTCCGTTTCCATGAAAATAGTCGTGTCACACGTCCTGTTTTCTTGTTTACTCACTCGAGTTTCGTTTCTGTATACTGTATTGCGTGCCAGTGCGTTGTATTGCCCTCCTGTCTCGCTACCAAAGGGCGACAGGTCACGTTATTCGTTTCCTTTAGACAAGCTTTGAATCCGTACACTCGGTAATCCAGCGCTCTCGCTAATCTGGCGTCCTGGTTAGAAAGAGCCTAATGTATTTTAATCGAAACAACTGGAGCTGGCAGGGAACAAATCAAAAATTCGTTTTTATTAAGAAATTTATTTTATTCTGGATGTCGGTATTTGATGAGTGATAATCAAGATCAGTAACAAGAGGGGGGAAAAATGAATGTTGTTTACTTGTTCAAATAGCATCATTATCTTGTTCAAGCATGAAATGACATCTGCTTCGAAAAGAATTGTAATTGTATTGTATGAAAAGTAAAATAAAAAAATTCTATAATCAGAACATCTGTCAATTATCTATAAAAAACATGTAAATGGGGAAAAATTACATCTGATTAACACGAATAAAAACTAAACACTTATTAAAACTGTACATTTTCATGTTTTTCATTAAAATTTAGCCACGTTGCCCAACTTTAGATAATACATTTCAAATAAAAAGAAAATGAAATAATGCTTTTTTTATGATAATTTAAAGATTTATTTAATTAAATGCATTTGAATGCAACAAGTGTTAATTCAATATCAAAAACAAAATTCTAAACACTAAAATATGAAAAATAAAAATCATTTTACGTTAGTACACTATTTTTAAAATACTCATCCATGGCGAAAACATTCAACGAAGTGATAAAATCTTTATTGAATTAACATTTTTATACGGAAAAGTGATAAAAAACGAAATCACGAATGTTAATAGGAACTACTGATAAGGTATTGCTATATAAACCATTCGATACACCTGGAAAATTTACTTAAAAAATACCGAACACCTGCCTATTAGGCTTTAACATCGGGTATACTTTTTAAAACTAAAAGGTGCTTAAACATTATACATAAATTTTAAATGTACTTAGAATTCCTTTAACGTAAAAAGTTTTTATACTTTTTCCAGCCGATGATATAGAACTTTTTTGTTCTATATCTTCTGGAAAGAAAAGGACACAAATTATTTGTGGCGTAGTGTGACGTAACTACAGTCATCAATCATCAAATAACAGAGAGACTCGAAAAAAATCACTCTCTCCTGTTCAAAGCGTGAAGCGTTTACACGTTTAACAATCGGATAGATCACTCAAAACACAAATCTTTTATTTATGTGTTCGTTTCGTCAATTTGACGTCATTTTTATGTGTTTTTTTAAAGTGACGCCAAAAGCACATTGAAACAAAATATCGAAACAATCGCATTTGGTTTTTCGTTGATTTAATTTCAAAAGTAATTTAATGGTGTAATTTATAAAAATCCTTCCTATTTAAACCCAGATATTCGTCTTACAGAAATTTATCTATCACCTTTATATCACAATATATATATACTGTATTACATAGAATAAATAAGGCCTAGTAAATAGACTAAGAGTGTATTCATTAACATAGCAAATGAGAAGACAAATAAATACACTGAAACATATCTCTCCATCACTTTGAGTCTGGTTAATAATTAATGACATACTCATTGTTGCCATAATTGATAATAGAGGTCGCTATAATTTCACATTGAGATTTTTTTTTTCTAATTTTTTTCCTTTTCTTCTAGACGAGGGTTTAAAGTAGATTAATGCGATTAAAATATTTAAATAAAAATAAATTTTAAAAATTATAATTATTGTATGTTTTTACTGACTTCGCTTCGTTATCAGTCTTCAAAGTCAGCCACCAGATGGCGATAGTGGTTCCAATCGGACGATTGCATCTCCAATTCTTCCGGAACATTTACGAGATGCTGAGAGAAAATAATCAATGGAAATAATTTTTCTCATTTCCGAAGCAAAATGAAAATCGTAAAACACACTTTGTTTTAGGAATTTGTATTCAAAGATATTTAAAATAATTGGAAGAATCTTCGCTTACCGATCTCATTTTTCAACGACCGTCTCTATTTAATCAGAACGGGTTTCAAAATGGTAGTAGTTTCAATTTAGTTTCTTCTTCTGTCCATAGACAAAATCGACATTTTCGATATTCCGAACGTTTTTTTTTTTTTTTTTGTATCGCTGGAGATTCCGAAAGCGTAACTCACTCATTTCATATAATTTTCTAATAGTCCCGAAGCAATTAAAAACGTTACCCATTCTGTTACGAAAGATAGAAATAGAAAGTATCTTTATTCCGTTTCTAACGGAATATATAAATTAGACCGTTTCTTCTATTAAATTAGAATTAATTATAAACGAGTGGAACAATAACATTAATAGAAGAACATCTGAACGCTAACGACCTTCTGTTATCTGGCAGTCGATCGACACTTATTCTTAGAAGACGCACAAAATGCCTCCATTTAAATCTGCAAGTATTAATTGTATCCAGACTGTTGATGGGAAACACATGCGCATTTTGTCCTTGACCTTGAAGAAGAGGAGGTTCGACTCAGTAAACATATACTTGGCAAGATTCCGAGTTACCCCCAAAATAATTTGAAAATTAAGTAAACAGGTTGAGTAATAGTTCCTATCCGTTACGGTTCTTTCCCTAAAGGAGTAAAGATTAGACATAACCAGAGAGATCGCGGTGTTTACGTTTAGTGCGAGGTCATTCTCGCTCCACTGGAAACGCTAAACGTGTAAATAATCGGGGAAAATACTACCGTCATCGACGTAACGACGTTAAAAAACAAGAGTATAATAAATGATAAATAACAGAAAAAAAATTCGTCATGGCCACCGGTATTATTGAGACAAAAAGACACTGTTTTTTAGTTAGTTACTTGGATATATAATAAGTAAAAAATACGTCAAACCGGGAACATATTTAATACACGCACGTCAAGCTCCAGGTAATAATCTTTACGTTAGTACAGCGATTTCGTCTTCATTTCTTATTCTAAATGAAAGAAGACAAAGTTTAGTAAATGAAATAAACTTTTATTTTAAGAAATTGGAACAGAAACAATAATATTAGATACATGAAATATGTACAGAAATTTTGAAAGACATCTACATAAAGGACCAAACTCGACAGCATCTCGGATACCCAGCCTTTTATCCCGGTTTTCCCCTTTTCGTTCGGGGGGGGTACGATCCTCCTATTGGAAAATGGAGGCGGATGGATCCTTTCTCGTCTTTGCTCCTTTAAAATTCCATTTATTTTTTTTTAAGAACTAAAAAAATTGTTTTAACAATTTTTCTTTTGTTTTTAGGTTTAAAAGATTTGAATCTAAAATATATCAAATTGTTTTTTAGTCGTCGACGAAATATATTGCAGAAGTAAAATACATATGTATATCTCGATTACGTAGCAAATCGACGAGAATGATATCCACGGGATGTATATAGCCAATCCGAGCCTTAAAGGCAGCAAATTCTTTTATGTAAATCCGCACTTCTCCTAAAAAATGACTATATCAGAACATTTCATACGATCGTGGAAAAAATCAAGACAATTTCCTTACATAATAACCAGACTACAAGACTTTGGATGGGATACTATTTACTGACATACTCGATGACGAAGCCTACTCATATAAAGCATCATACAAGCACAAATGTTAAACAGCCTGTACTTTCTACAGAATCATACAAGAAGCTGAAAATTATTTTGTATATACTCTCCTTTAAAGTCCGTCAGGCATTATTTTATTTTATTTTTATCCGGAGCATTAATAAGATCGACAGGGTATAGTTTATTTTATTATTATTTTTTTTTCTTTTTTTACACCTGGGTGGGAAAAATAAAGTTGGCCAAACACATTTTTGTGCACGCATCGGTCAGACCGACGGTTTAGAAACTGGCAACATATGGGAAAGTGGAACTGTGCTACTAATAATTAGCTAAAAATTTATAATCTGTCGGAGTGCGCTTATTTTTAAATACAATTATTATTATTATTATTNACTATTAAGGACACCCAGGGAGAGGGCAAGACTTCTTCGAGACCCTTTATCGGAACGGTTCTCCTATTGTCATCAGCATCTTCACCATCCGTGAACTTTTCGTTATTATCGTGTAACTGTTGTTACCCATCGCACGGGGCAATGGGCATTAACAATAAAACGATGACATAATTAAAAACTTATCGTCTCGAAGCTAAGCAAAGGAGTTTTTCTTAGCAAAGTTCCGCCTGTCAGATCATTAGTCACGTGGCTAAAAGGCAAAACATTATTATTATTATTTTTTTTTTTAAAGAACTTGCCATCAATAAATTTCTTTGATTTGACGTTTCTATAACGATATCTTGTTTTAAGCGCTCATCCAATCATGAGGAAAGTTCCGCCTGTCAGATCATTAGTCACGTGGCTAAAAGGCAAAATATTATTTTTTTTTTTAAAGACATTTCGACTAAAACGATCACATGTTTACAACACTATGGGCAATTAAGAGTATTTTTAGAAAATACTAGTTGAACGGAGCTGTTCTTATGTATAATAAGAAATCTCTGCAAAATAAAATGAAAAATAATCTTTACAACTGAAATAAATAAATTTGAGAGCAGCACATCACATATGCTATTGCTCATTTGGCAAGTATCCAATGGCCCATCCTGAGAATTTTAATTACCCCATCCCCTTTTTAGACTTGGTAAAGGTTATACAATTTTTGTTCTAAGAGGAATCGCATCGGAACGAAAACGAGTTCTGTTTTTGTTTTATTTTGTATATATATATATACTGTATATATATATATATATATATATATATATTTTTTTTTTTCACCACGATATGTCCGGGCCATTGGTGAAGAGGTTGGAATTACACGAAAATGATTTTAAAAAATCTAAATCGCTATGGGATGAAAGGGGGGTTTAAACGGAAGGAACCGGGCGTTGATTTTTGAAGCACAGATCAAATACTGTATATGTGTTATGTACGTGAAGTGTGGCCGGGTTATATTGCAGAAGGGAATAGGATCCCGATTGCGATCACGAACACATAATTTTGAGACCCACCGAAATACATCAGAAGAGTGCCCATTATTTTCGCGTGATTTAAAAATGGAATGGTTTCTTCAAATCCATCGAAATGCCCAAATCGGATGGCAGGGTGGTGGCAGTCCACAAAACTATTTTCTTATATATTTTTTTAAATCCCCCTTTTATACTGGTGTGCATGCACTGTCCTTTGCAATGTTCTCAAAGAATACTGGCAGTATTAAATGGACATGGTAGTTTCACCGAGAGTGAGCCGTTTGGTGCTGATGGAAACTCCTCCGTCGCTCGTCACGCTCTGGATGCTACTATGGTCATCCGTATCACTTTGGTTACTGTTGTAGCCGATGATATCCACTTCATCTGTTGAAAAATAAATAAACGTTAATTTCAACCACAATAGAAATGTTTTTCGAAAAGAAACACTCATTCTATTGGATTAAGTAACGACAATAAATTAGATAAAGAAAATAACAATATGGAAGAAAAAATAATGACGTGAAGTGATTATCGTTCAAAGACTATTGTTCGGATTTCCGGGAAACGTATTTTAAACCTGGTTATAATTACACGACATGCATATCTGTGTAATATCTGTTAATACTGCGTACACGTAGAAGTTGAAATTTAACTGTTTTAACTGACGCGGAATTTTCGCTAAATTTAAATGCATATTGTTATCTTTCAATACTTTTCAGAATTATCGTAAATTAATTCTCCTTAATTTCCAAATTAAAATAGAAATTAATCAGTTCTAAGAGAAATTAGAAATGTAGAAACTGCAACTTTTGATTCTGTAAACATTTCTCAGGAAATATATATATAGGTTATATATTTTCTGTACAATTCTATTCATAAGAAATTAAGAAGATTAATTTACGATAATTTTTGAAACTGTTTTAAATTATTGGGAAATAAGAACTAATTAACTATTCCCATGAAAAAAAAATTCGATATGAACCATGTTTCCTTTGATAATTGTTGCGTGGAAAGAATGATAAATTCAGTTTTCCAACGAATGAAGTATTATTTTCATCTAATAATCAGGATATTCGTTCTTCGTTTAATATTTTCCAAATCTTAATGCTCAAGTTACAAATTGTTCTAAAGAGAGAGAGAAGTGGAAAATTCCAAATAACAATATATTGCTTGTATTATTTATATTCGGGATGATCCACATTCAAGGATTATATATTATATTTTGTTTTTATCATTATTAATAAAAATAAAGCATTTTTAAAATACAGATATAGAATTACTTATATGTATTCTGCACAAATGAAAAAGCTAATGGCTCCACAAGATCATATTTACATTTAGAACACTACATTTATAATTTTCTATTACTATATATCACTTTAAGAAAAAACTCTTCTTAGTTAAAAGGTCGGTAGTCTTCTATACCCCTGCCCACCAGGAGGTCAACGAAAACACGAAACTACTTTCGAGATAGTTGTTATCTAATAGATCTTGACCCATCGTTTTTCGCCTGAGACTAACCCGTTATTTCCATCTAGTTTTCCCATTGTTAAACGTCGTCCTTGAACTCTACTTGTCATCGTTATTTAGAGAGGAGAACATCCCTGCCGAAAAAAAAAAACCGGCACAGGCAGTGCATAGTCTATCCAGCTGCTATCGTTTATTTATGAGAAACACTTAATCTTTCGACTAACCAAAAATATAATGTCACATATTTTGACACAGAAGGGGGTTTCGAAAGTTACAATGGTTGAGGAATTTATGTGAAGCGTGTTACAGGATTTAATTTCCTTCGCCCTTTATTCCATTCAATGAAATTGTCTTCTGTGTCCCCAAACTTTCACACGCTTAAGTAGTAGGTCTACGAGTGACAATAGCGAATGGAAAATTGGTTCAAGGTCTGGCTGACTTATAATTAATACGCAAAAAGTACATTTCCGTCTGGGAACGTGGCTAGTTTGATATAAAGTACAAAGTGAAGAAAAGGGGTGGTCGTACCTGTTTCGGATAATGAGGATGAGTTTGTGGAAATGGAGGTTGACGAACTGCATTCGCTAATGCTTCGTCTTTTGTGCGAATTGAATGGCATTCCCAACTGGTCCAGCCTCCTTCGTAAGTACCTTTGCTCCCTTAGCAATTGATCTTTTTGGAGTTGATGCTTTCTCTCTTTATCCTCCAGATTCTGTTATAAAAACAAAATTTTAAAATATGGAAAAAAAGAAACAATCATAAATAAAATTTCCAAAGAAAAATCTCACTTTAATAAAAGTTTTGGCTTTAGTGAGAAGACCTAACGTCGTATGACGATTTGACTCTGGACCCAGGGGGACCATCTCCTTCAGTTTCTCCAGGCAATTACGCAAGTGAGCACGCCTGAAATGTAAACACATTGTAATTACGAGAATTTATAGGTTAATCCTAAACATAAACGCGATGCTAACATTAGAAGATGAAGAAAAACAAAAAAGGAAAAATACATATGAGTGATGGTACCAGTAGTGAATTGACAACACGGAAACGTCAACACTCAACAGATCGATTGCATTCTTCTTCCGGCGTACAGGCGCCAGAATTACCAGATTGTTACCAAAGTCGATGCGGTAAAATGACGAAAAATACGGCCGAGAGGTCAACGTTATTGGAGGTGAACGACCGTGAAAACAACAGAGTAGAAGTTGGCGTTAAACCACACCTACTTTTCCGGGAATCGACACTGTTTACGAAGCGCAATTATTCGCTAATTTTTCAATGTAAATAACACTTGTCGTTTCTAAAAATTAGTTAGAAAGCACCTGTTACCATTTCTTAAATGTTAATGAAAAATGTCGACGTCGACAGTTGCTTCTCCTCTATCAAATCAGAAAGTAAACTGACTGAATTAATCGAGTATAGTGACACTGCCTCGTATTGTCTATGTAAAGTACAGTACGTATATAAGCTTAAAAATTACAGTTTACTTGCACAATTATAAATTCATTGAACTGTAGAATCCGTTCACTACGGATTCTGTCGTGAGTGAACACGTGTAAATAAACTACGAAAAATGATAAGGATAAGTAATCAATGCTTTCAATAAAAGGATATTATTGCTTAAGAAAGAGGCATGCTTAATTATTCTAATGAAAGATTCAGATGCGATAGATTTTAAAATTTATATCGGTTTTGAATATCGTAATTATTATTACATCGATTTTATAATTAAAACTAAATTCTTGTAAATCGTTAAGGCACGCACAAAGAAACGCGATGTAATTTAAATACTAGAATTTTCATTTAACGATCTGTTGTAAATGATTTAAAAATGAAATATATACTGCTTAACAGTTCCGTTTAATTAATTTGTCATTAAAATGGCCAGCGATTTGAAACGAGATGTAGAACGAAATATTTCATCTTTTACAGATTTTCAGGACATATTTCTTATCTTAAACAAACGATGAAGGTTCTACAGATATAATGATTAACAATTAAAAAGTACACGTATGTATATATAATCTACTAGCGGTAATTATTAATAATGTATTATATATCCTTGTAATTTGCTTTATTATTTGTGAACCGAATTATAATCTTTCATCTTAACAATAATGTGGTTATTTTTTAGTTTAGTAATAGGAATATTATAGATTTTGAATAAGGAAATTTATATTTGTTATAAAATTTATACATTTATATTGTTTCTTCTTAAGTCATTTCTGTTTTTAGGGAGAGAAAAAAATATCGAAACATGAAAGAATCCAATAAATATAAATGGAAAGGAAGTGGAGAAATAGATATAATTTCTTTATAAATTATTAATCATTTTGATAGATTAAACAATGTTTACGGATATAATAACATCATTCGCATGTATAAAACTGATATATTTGTATTATTTATAAAGAACCCTCTTATAGAATTATTCTAACGCACCTCCCTATTGAAAATAGATTAAAAAATAAATAACAGATTTAAAAGGTATTCAGATTAATGGTTTAAACAAAGTATAAAAGAACTCATTCACTCAAAATTATATCATTTTCTCAAACGAATAAGCAATCGATAAAATGTAAATCCCCTGAATAGATGAAACGTCTTGTAATACAAATATTTAACTTTCTATAAATGAAATTCGATAAGTGCATGTATACCGGTAATATGTTTTCAATCTTCATTAAATAAAATATATTCACAAATTGAATACTTAACTGCTTTATTTTAAGAGCGTTCTTAGTTTCACGTCAGATCAACAGTTTGCATATAATAAAATATTTTATTAAAAGACAGGATATTAATTAAATTTAAGGTTAAATAGATTAAGCAGCCGTCAAAAATGTTTGCAATTACTACAGTCAATACAAGGAAAAGCCAAATTACTACTCTTTTATTAACCTATTTATTTTATAAAATTATATTTAATGATATAGAATGTATTTATTCACAGAACTAATTTTTTCAAAAATTTTTCACTGGTTGTATGTTGAATTCAAATATTTATTCTATGGAAAACCGTTGTATGTAATTACAGTACAGTGTTGACTGTCGGAAAAAAAAATTAGAATTGTGATATAAATGTACAGCAAGATCTGTAAATTATCTCCGTTATGTGGTTTCAAATATCTTCAGAGGATCCCACAGTTATCAGTGTGTGCAGAATAAGAATCATGATGTCATGCAATCCTGGGACTTACAAACTCTTACCTCAGCAGAGAACACGTGGTGCAAAGGTAGTGTCCAGATTTTAAAATCTAACAGATATTTCTTTGCCACTTCTATATGATAGACCATTGAAGCGGCAAAGAAACGTTATCTCATGGACTTGACAAGATTTAGGTTTTATCCGATTACGGCAACGTAACACATGAATGATCTGCCTAGGGGGAATGCTTCCCGGGAGGGCTTTTATAGGAAACTGACCCCAATTTAGGTGTTACTAACCCGATAAAAACTCCACGTGACCAGCCGTTGGTGAGGCTCGAACCCACGACCAATGTTCATTAGTTTTATTCACTCGGCTACTTGTGGGCGGATACGACAAGATACTTAAAAGAACACGCTGAGTTCTACAGTGCCCTACAATCAGCAGAATTATAGGCAGTTCTTAGTACTGCAGAAAGTTTAGAAAATAAATACTACTATTTGCGTTTAAAGTAAAATACTGTTTTTTTTTTTTATTCTTGAAATATAATAAATAATACACTAAAACCGTTTTTTTTTTTTCAGTAATGTCCTCATTTCTCAAAAACATTGCTTTATGAAATTTTCAATCCAGAGCATATCAAAACGTTTCAGACAGTTTATCTCAATGTGTGCTATGAAAGGTAGAAACAAGAAAAGATTCATATAAAAAGCAAATTTACTTTCTTTTAAATTTTCCCGTGATGTTATAAGGAAAACATTGTTTGATATACTGTATAACATTACGAGTTTTTCTTTCTAAGCCATTTTTTATGTTAAAATCACTTCAATGTTATCTCAATAATTCAATGTTTATTTGGTAATGATGTATGATGTGTAAGCGGAAATCAGTTTTTTTTTTTTTTTTTTTTTTTCGAGACAGCAAAGTTGCAGATACAACGTTTTCCCGAGCAAGAGCTCAACAACTGATCTGCAAAAGGAGTGTTTATCATTCTACAAGACGACTATCAATTTTTCCAAATATTTCGCGGTTTGTATATTAAAAACAGTGTTTAGCAGAACGTAATGCTTATATTTTTAGATTTTAAATATTTTTATGATAAAATTTTTAATGAAGCTTGCTTTTTCACTAAATAAATGTCGAAGAATAACTTCCAATTGGAAAAAAATTAATTTAATTATCACAATCTAAATATGTAATTTCAATCAACAAATAACACCTTCAAAAATTTCTCAAGACTTACTACTACTTAAGAAATCACATATTAAAATTATTTTGCAATAAATAACCTATATAAGGCCTACTTTCTTCTTCATGTTTAATGTGATATTTAAACATCAAATTGCAATAAAATCCACGTTTAATGGTTCCTCTTATGAGTACTGTATGTTGTCAGATGTCCCGGTTTTCCGGGATTGTTCCGGAATTTTTCCGACTGCCATCTAGCAACAGGAAGACTTCTAAAAACTGTTCTTACAATTAGATATCTTTTTATTTTTTACATCTTAAACGATTTCTGCCAATGACAGAAATGCATTAAAAAAAACACACCTTGAATATCCTGGAATTGAAGTGTCTAAGTATCTTTTGGGAAGAACTCATTTTGTACCAGATTTTATTCTCATCTGGCCATCCTACTTGCAAGTCAGAACCAGCCATAATGGATAAAATTAGCAAGTTTATCTCGATACTCGAATGGTAAGAAATGGCACAATTTCAACGTCATATTTTTTCCTAATGTTAACTATAAGAAACTGTATCATTCACAACCAAATATCAAACGGTAATCTTCCAACGAATCAAATATCGCAAAAAAAACAGATCGAATATTTAAACTCGGCACCCTCGAAAACAGCTTAAATCATATTTTGTGCTGCCCGGTAACCTTATATTATGTAATTTTTCTATTCGAATGCCACCATACCGCTGGTCCGATAGAAAAAAAAAGTAGCTGTTGCGGAACGGGGTTGAAGTAATTCGACCAAAAGTAGGCGTTGATCTCCTCCCGGAAGAGAAGATGGTCAAAGACTACTAATTAATACTAATCTACTATTAATATTTGAAAAGTGATCCGTGTTAGACAGGTTGTGATGGCCCCGCATGTGATCGAAGTAGCTAACCTTAACGTCCTAAAGTCTTCATATAGTAACTTGTTTACATTTAAAAAATCTTGTCAAAATGCGAGAATAACTGCTTTTATGTTCTACAAAGTGTTTATATTTTGGCAACATACTGTATAAACTACGTGGGAAGTATATTCTCGTAAATATCGCATTTATAGAAAAACTATTTGGTTGTAATTTGAAAAAATTGTGGACGTATAAAATTCCCACTGTCGGCTGTCTATCTGTGTCTGTTGTCCGTCCTTAATCTCGAGAAAGGAGTTAGATGAAAGTCGAGACCAGATGTGGAAAGCTTAGGGACAGGAGGCCTAGATTAACTAGGCCTATATACGAACTTTTGGTTTGGAACGATGTCATGTTACTTCGATTCCAAATTTTTCCCCGGAGTTAATAGATGACAGACACGATTCTATTGCTAACAAGAAACGTATGATGTACAGTACCGGAGCAAGACTACCACTGAAAGAATTGAGAACATTGTGACGATGTTACAATAAATAATCGCTCGTTAGAATTAGTTTGGCTTATTTGGTTACGGTTGCCGATGGGGATGCATCCGGGGAGATTTATAGGAAACTGGTCCCTATTTAGGTGTTACTAACTTGAGGAAAATCCGAAAAACTTCATCCGAT